GGACCTTGTCATTGTTGCCAATTTTATACGTGGACGTAAAATACTGGACAAAACAGGCGCGCGGACAAAAAATGGTTGACGGAATATCCTGAAACCAGATATTTTGTCAAATTCACCTATTTACAAACACTCGATTATTTTATTTGAACTTAAAATTCAGAGTCATCTACCAATTTCAGATAAAATGATACCATACATGTGTGAGTGGAAGACATTTCTGTAAAATTCTGCATCGATTTAGGGATTTATCAAGTGGATCGCATTTAGCAAATAGGAAACAGCGCGCGATCACAGTGTTGTAAAAATGTTACTTCTTCATAATTATCTGAAAACCTCTCAGAATAGCAAAAATATTTTGCTTCCCATCAAAAAATTGTAAATTTTAAAGAAAACTAATCGTGTAAATGTTGGTATTGTACCTGAATTGGGTATTTTTTAAAGGACAAAAGAAGTCGCACGATTTTGAAAGCACTGGCATCGCGCCGGTTCTTTTTTGCTAAATGCGAACCAAGTATTTCTGGCATCTACGTAAAACTTTACACAAAACTATTGGGATATTTGGGCTACATTTTGCAATTAGGAAGTATAATTACTGGCTCCGTTTAGAAACAGCGTATTGGTTTCCCTGTGCAAATAAGTGTCTTCAAGGATGAGCCAGAAATTTTAATGCCTAGTAGCAAAATGTAGTCTATTTTTCGGTGCACTTACATTACACTTTACCGTTCACAGGAAAAGAGACCTCGGTCCACAAAAACTAAAATTCCAATGTTTCATACTAGAGCGTGAAAGGTTGTGTAATCATTTTGGGACGAAAAGTCCGAAAATATTTAATTCTTCGATGCCTAAACCGGGGTCAAATTGACCCAAGGCTTGCTAAAAATACGTACCCTGCGGGTTATGTGCACGGCGACCTTGAACCCCCCCCCCTCCAGAAAAAAAAGCTACAAAAATTTACTCAGAAACGAGTTGAAGGGGGTAAATCTACGGCATTTACAGACTTAAAATCGTGAAAAATCAAAATCTTGGCTGATCCTATTCTTGGAATAGAGCAATTTGAAATTTTCATTGTAAATGCAAGTTTTCTACCGATTTTGATCTGGCTTTTTCATTTCTTTGTCCATTGAATCTGTGTCGATCGGTTCAAGTAGATCCGTTCACGTCCATCGGTTCAGGTTTTTATTTATCGTTCGATTCATGTCGATCGAATACATACCCTCTCGTTGCATGCAGACTTCCTATCATATCATTTTTTTTAACTGAGCAATTCGCCTTCTACTGCGTCTGCAGCAATTGTTGTTACGAAAATGTTGTGCGTGCTGATATCAGCTCATTACATACTTGACTATCTGAAGGCGTTTTGTGTGCGTAAGCAATTCGCCTTCATCTGCAACTGCAGCAATTGTTGTTGCGAATACGTTGTGCGTGCTGATTTTAGATCATTAAGTACATATTCGACTCTAAATCTAAATATAATCATCGTAACCCACAGACTAACCTAACCAATGCACAATTTCCTACAAGTACACTTTTTTCGTCTTTACTTCACTGAAATTACCTTGATAAATTTTTGGACTCTATGCTTGTCTAATTACAGGATATATATACACCCCGTGATTTTGGACGCTATGCTCACTTTGATTTTTATTAAAAAAAAGTAATTCTCTTTAAAGTATGCTTAGAGTCCAAGATCATGTGCATGATTCATGATGATGAGCAGTTCAGCACTACAAGGGTGCATGAGCATGTAGTCAAATATCTTATGCACGCAATACCGGAGGCAGCCCGGTAAAGCCTTAACACCCTTATGCTACTGGAAAATCGGAGGTCCACGAAAGCTGATTAGAAAAAGAATCACATGCAGGTCCTTTCTGGCTTCAGAAGCTTTCGAATACGTATATTAGAACGAACTAGTGGAGAAGCTGGTAAAATTTTTAAAAGAATAAACCACAGTTAAAATGGTCCCACACCGAAAAAACACATGACGGAGACTCTTTTTCTAAAAAAAAAAAAAAAAAAAAAAATGTTGGGGACTTGGAACAGTTGGAAGAAGTTTTTAGCCAGAAGCTAAACTTGAGAGTGATGGAGAAAAATACGGCAATCTCATTCAGATATAGCGGCTCAAAATACACACATACCAATCAAAGACTGCCAGAAATTTCAGTTTAGTTAAATTTGGAACGAAAATGGATGATGCTCGCCTCTTGTAGCCGGGAAAATAGGATTTTCCGGAAAATTAAAAGATGATAAGAAAAAATGGTAAGGTCATATTCGGTTCTAGCAGCTCCAGATACACAAAAAATGGTACACTGAGGAGACCAATAAATATTTGTTCAAGCATGCTGAACAGGAAAATTTCCGGCTTCACTGCAGAATTTCCAGCTGAATTTTTTTCATTTTTTTGTCATTTTTGTCGCAATTTGAGAGAGAAATTGAAATTTTTCGAATTTCGCCAATTGGAGGTACTGGAAAAGTACTTACTGAAGTTTCTTGGTGAGGAGGTCCTGAATTTCTTAAGAATGCACTGAAAGAGTACTCAAGAAGTACCTACTGATTTCTGGTCAGTCTGTTTTTGCAGACACCTTGGTTGCTGGTTGCTCTTTTCAGCAAAATTAATTTCCATGTGGAATTCCATTTTGCATTTCCTGGCTGGAGAAACGGAAAGTGAACCAAGCAGGGCTGCTCAAGTGAAATATACAGTATGAAAGATTGGAAATCTCTGTGAAATATTCCATGGAACATGAAGCTATGAAAAATATATTTTACATATTTTCAGGGCTGGGTGAGTAGGTTTACAACACGCACTTATAACACGAAAAATCAAAAACCATGATATACCTTTCATTAAATGATGCATTGAATTTCGAAAAATATTTTTCAGTATCTTGCATTATTTTCTGAAATTTTCAGATTTTATTGTTTATTCTTCATAAAAAACTGCAACCCTGGTACTCAGTCCATTTTTCAAAACGAATTTTTGGTACAATTGGCAACAATGCCGTGCAAATGGCGGGAATCATCAACCAATCAGAGATCAGAGGTACTTGGCTTGTCAATGACCTGACCTTGATTGCTTGTAAACTTTTAAAACTTTTCCAATTCTCATATTCTCTTCGTTTGTTCTTGGCCTAACGAGATGCAATCTCCAATCTCCATTAATTACTTTCACTACACACATCCGCTGAACCAAAAAACCGAAGAGAATACACAATTCACATCAAAATAACAGAACCACTTGCCAGCTAGAGTCCCTTTATACCCAAGGGGGTATAAGGGGACTCTATTGCCAGCATAGAGTACAATAGAGTCGCAAAGTACTGGAGCGCCGATCAAGCCAATCCATTAACAGGCGTTTCCGAGCCACGTGTGCTCCGAAAATAGTGAACCATTTGCGAACCCAACGGCATTTTGTAACACGGCGGCTTATGGAGAAATCAAGAATTGCTTGTGTTTTTTAGGTATTTTATAATTCAATCAGCATTAATTTTTGCAAATTTTGCTATTTAAAGGTAGTCAAAGCCATAATGAATCCATTGATGTATATTACTCCTGGATAATATTCATAT